ATATTGTTCCCAGAGCAGATGGGATTTTTATTGTGTAGTCACCCCCCAGCGGCCGCCGTTTGATAAAATCTGGCAGCGCAGCTCGCATGAGGTCGCGGTCCTTAGAGGAGACGGCGATCATGAGAGGATCGTTCCTATTATCCCAAGAAGGCCTCTCCGCCTCCTCGCTATCCTCAGATTCGGTTAAGTAGCTGCTACTGCTACTTTGAACGCGACCGGCATCAGAGCCGGCTGGGGAGTTGGAGACCTCCTTATCAGAGCCTGCCTGCTCTCTGGTCTCATTGAGGGGAGCAGTCTCCTCATTTAAAATGCTATCACCCGGGGTGCTAGGAGTGCCCCCGGGTGAGCCTCTCTGCTCTACCTCTCCTTGCTCTACTTCTCCGCCTGAAGCTTGGACCTCAGGCGGCTGCTCATCTGAGCTCCCACTTCTGTAGTTGGGATCTCTGGCAGTAGACCGGATTCTGGCCATTGTGTCCTGCACAGACACAGAGTCGGTCGATATGGGTGTTGAAAAAGGGTTGTCCCAAAGAACAGAGGCGGCGGACCCAGTTCTAGACTCAGCCGTACTAATAAACCGGCTGAGTTCACAGCTAGGTTCCGGGTATGGGTATAAGGGGTCCATCTACTTATGGGACCAATGAATAAAAGTGCGAGTAAAAGACTCAAACGGAAAAACATGAAAAAGCTAGAAAGAATAGAGACGGTACCTAGAAGAAAATCTGGAAATTCTTTGGGATGCTTGCGAAGACGCAGGCGGTTCAAAATTCGGCTGGGTTTCTCTGATTACCCTCGCGAAAACCTTTAGCTAGCTTGCAACGACCCAGACGGTCTGTAGACCAGTTGCTCTCAACAAATTTCAACTCCGAATGCTCTCAACTCTTAAATTGCCGGCTGCTCTCAAATTTTCAGAAATTTTGCAAAGTTTGTAAATGAGAGCTCGGGGGGCATCTCCTCCTGCTTATAGGATTTGTCCCGGAGGGTGAAGAGTCGTGACTCTTCGCCTTCTGCTTTTCCATCCTTCAAAAAAGTATCTGAAAAAAAAAAAAAAAAAAACCATTCACCGGTGCCACGTGGCACCCTGCCACGTCAGCACCAGTGAGGGGCAAATGTTTGGGGTAAAAATACCCTAAACACATGGCCCAATGGCCTAGTGACGCGTGGCACCCAGCCGTTGGTCAGCAGGGTTCCAATCCTCTGCTGACACGTGTCCTCTAAACCCTAAAAGGGGAACCATCCCTTCCCCACTATAAGTAGTGGAAGGACCCTCATTAATGGGCATCGGAACATTCATTGCTTACATTGAATACTCCTCATAAAGACAAACACCTACCCCGAGCAATATTAATTGCGGAATTCTCCCATTACGCGAGAAGTAACTTCAATACGTGCATTCTACCTCCCGTATCTTTACTAACTTGATCGTCGGAGGCGGAGCTCCTACCCCCAGGAGTCTTCGTGATTTTGCAGGCACAGGCGTCGAAGGGCATTCTTGGAATTGTAACTCTCCCGCAGGACACATCAAAAAACCCCGAAACAGCATGTATGGTGATCCATACGACATATATGGCTGTTGGGGTACATACGGAGCCGGCTGGATAATCTTAGGGCCAGTACGTGCGGACATGCCGCGTGACTGACTCTTTCTGTTTGTTTCCGAATACTTCATTGAAGTATTCCGGAAACTGTTTGGGTAAGTCGACGTTGAGGCTGACTCAGACAATTGCTGACTTCTCTTCTGCTGGATTAACATCCGGGCATCTGAGTAAGTCCTTTTTGATCCATCTGGCTGAACTTGTCGGATGGCCTTCCTTCGCCCTGATTCAGGGAAACGAAGTTTGGATAGGTCAATCATGGGCCCGTCCGCCCCTTTTAGTTTAGGGTGTGGAGTAGGTACACGATCTTTCACATGCTTCTTCACGGAGGGAGAAGGTTTCTTGGCCGACTGACCCTTGTTGCATGGTGCCAGTTGACTTGTTTATTAGGTCCTTGATCTCCTCTTTGAAACTCGTCATGAATTTCATGAGGTCGTCTCTAGTTACGGGGGCAGCACTCTCCGCCGCCTGGGGTCGCCGGCTTGACGGTTGGGCTGCTAGGACCAGCTTTGTATTTGCCCCGTTCCCTTGTTTCCTTGGAACGGGTGCGCCTCGTTCTGAATGACCCGTCTGAGGCCACGCAGGTGTCGACCTCAAAGTTGTCACAACTATCTTGGTCCACGTCGACCTCAGTTTCGACCATAGGCCGTTTGCCTTCAACAGGCGGTACAGACTCTGATGCCATCTCAGAAGTACTATCCCCACAGACGGCGCCAAATGTTTTGGGGTTTTTGGAGTCCCTCGGGAGAGTTACAATTCCAAGAATGCGCGTCGACCGTCTGTACCTGCAAAACCACGGAAACTTCAGTTGGGTGGAGTTCCGACTCCGACGATCAGGTTATAACGTTTCTGGATGTATAAAAGTGTGGAAGGTAAAGGGTTTTTCTCTCGGATTCCGAGAGAATTCTGCAATTAATATTGCTCAGGATTTTTGTGTGTATTTATAAATGTGTAATAAATGAGGATTTTCCTCTATTTATAGTGGAAGGGGATCAGTTTCCCTTTTAGGGTTAAAGTGCCACGTGTTAGTAGAGGATTGGATCCCCTAGGATCTCTCTGAGGCTGACACGTGTCGGCATGCTATAGGACCACGCAGACAGGGTATTTTTACCCTAAATAAGTCTAATCATAAGTTTGACTTGTGTTATCATCAAAACATCGAGGGCAACAACGTCTTTAATTAAGTTACTTTAACTCAACTCGTTCTATCTTGTTATTAGTAATTCAACAACATAGAATAATCCAAATTATAAATGATAAAACTAGTAAAATTAAGAAAAATTACCAAAGAGCTACAAAAAACGATGAGGCCTCTTAACACCACAAGTAGTAGGAACTGATTTTCTTTTGCAGTCTTCGTTAAAACACAAATAATCATATACAAGAATAAATCGATTAAAAAGATTAGATAAAAAAAAAATAAAACAAAATACAAGTAAATCGAAGTTACATGATTGTAAATGAGCAAATCATAAGATTATATTCGAATTTACCAGTAAACAATAGAGGATTAGAGGAAGATTTAGGGTTGATGAAACACAGAGAAGATGGTCAATAGGATTTTTGAAAATTTTAAAAATTAATTACCAAAAAAAAAAATTGAATTTAAAAAAAAATAAATAGCACGTTTTCTATGTGATTGGCCACACTGTGTGATCACTTTTAAAAGCACAAGGTAACCCTATAACAAAGGATCGAGTAACCCCTAAATCTCTAATCAAGTAACCCTATAACAATACAGAGTAACTCTTGTAACACTTATTGACTTTTCGGGTAACCCATGACAACGTAACCCCTATAACACTAACGAAATAACCATAACCAAACGTTGTTGCCAGCCACATATGAAACTTTGTGGAGAAAAAAAAAATCATTTTTATAAGTTTGACCATCAAAACAATAAATCAAAAATCAGCCAATGAAAATTAAGTATAGTGGTAGTCATTTTAAGGATGAATACTGTAGAATTTTCATTCATAGTCTGTTCAATTGTACTTTTTACGACTATTTTTTTTTTTTTTTTTTTTGAGGATCATAAATGTTTACATCCTGCTATAGGATGTTTGATCATAGGATACCATTGGAGTGTGGTGCTAATCAAGTCAATATAAGACCCTATAGATATCGTTTGAAGCAGAGAGGCGTCATTGAAAACTTCAGGGGTGAATGGCATGCTAATATAACTCAAGGTATCATATATTCGACATAGCTGAATGCCTAAAACCCATTTGCTTCTCAATCTCGTTGTACTAGTGGGACAAAAGGATAGTTCTTGGAGGATGTGTGTGCGAATTATAGAGAGCTAAATAGAAAAAATGTAAAAGAATGGGTATGGGCGCTATGAATTTCTAGGAGTTCCTTTTGGGCTTACTAGACTTCCTTTCAAGGATGGATGAACCATATTTTCAATCCTCTCTTAAAAAAATGTGTCTTTGTCTTCCTTGATAACATATTGGTGTAAAATCCTTAGCTACTTTGGTAGCGAGTGCATGTTAAACATTTGAATGATGTACTTCAATTGATGAAACAAAATACCTTATTTCTATAAAGAAGTAATTTAACTGTTCTTTTGCCATCTGTAAGGTGGAGTAGTTAGGGCATTTCATCTCAAGAAACGGAGTACGGAAGTTGATCCCTAGAAGGTAGAAACCGTGAGAGAGAAGAATTTATATTATATTCTGAATGAATCATTTATTTTATGATTCCTAGTTCCCTGCCATTATTTTCTTATGTGTATAAGAGAACGCGTCAATTATTTAAAAATAGATCAAGTATATCTTAAGTTTTTGTAGGCTACATCAATATGCATGACTAGATTTATTTTTATTTTTATCTATTTATATTTTTTTCCGGTAAGATACGGAGGGGTCCCCCACCCTATCACTGGAATGGGGGGATGAGGATCGAACCCCCAACCACTTGGAGGGGGGGGGGGAGGGGACATTGGTGGACTAACCATCCCTCCATCTCCTATCTCCTCATATGCATTACTAAATGAGTGTTATGAATCGTAGCATGTGCATGTTTTTTGGCTGAAATTTCCTTATAATTGAGAAATACAAGATGAGGAATTATTTCTTCTTTATCAAGTCCAAGATTGTCAAAAATAGATGCATCATGCATTTATTAGTAGGTCACTAGGAAAATATTCTCATTTTATTTGTTTTAATTTTCATTTGATTGATCTTAATTTTCATTTGACTGATCAAAGTATTCACAAAAATCTACATTTTTTAAAGCAATAAAATTGTATCAAGATGGAGCTCTTTGTTGCGCACGATTTTAATTTGCTAGCTTCTCTTTCTTTTTGCTTTTCCATTTTTTCTCTCCGAGATAAAATTTGTTAGGTACGACCATAAACTAAATCAAATGCTCAAGAGGGAAGTACTCTAGAAATATGTATTAAGAATCAACATACGGTTTATAAATAAAGAGTAAAAAAGTTACAAAACTTACATTCATATATATAATAAAGCTGTAAATTATTACTTATACACAAACTTTCTCCCGATTAATTATATTTATGAACCCTTTCATATTTATTTTTGGTGGGTAGCACGAAAAACTTAAACCAATTGAGTACAAAAAAGAAAAAATTTAAAACTTAAATAGAGTAGAGTGTTTTCTATATACTTCGTATACACTTAAATATATAAAACATATTCATAATTTTGAAGTAGCTGTTGTAGCTTCGAAGATTAATTGAAACGCCTTTTCCACACACGGCATAAACTTTTGAGGATCAATGAAGCCATTCTCAACAACAAAACCAAGTCTTATATTATCCATATAGGTCAGCACAGACACTACTAAACTCTGCAATAAGATCACGAGAAAGTATATGTTAAATTTTGAGATTAATTAATAAGTAGAGTAGTCAATCTTGTCCCAAAAGTTCAACAATAAAACTATAAAACATACTTCGTAGATAATTTTGGTAATCAAAATATAGAGATGGACAAATTATCTTACCATATTAATTCCAGTTGGTACGAAGTAAAAGCCATTGATAGGGTGGTTTCCAAAGCTAACTTGGTCAGTTGGCCCAATCATATTCGTGATTGCAAAGCTACAATTCTTCCATCTTCGTTCAAGTGTTCGTGCAGCAGCCTACAACGGTGAATATTTATGTTATCCCTTTACCTCTATAATGTATGTATTCATTTTATTTAAACATTGTAATAAGAAACCTTTTTATTTTTTTTATTTTCTTATTATGGCTCGCTACTACAGTTTGACTTTCAGACTTGTGTTTGTTTTTTTGGCAACAATTGAAACTTGTGTTTGTCAATTATGCAAAACATTAAATGTTACTATATGTTTCTCATTATAACTTCCTCTATCCCTATGAAAAATTAATTTAATTTTAGAATATAAATATATATAAATCTTACTATCTCAAAATATAACAAACCTTAAGGCCTCCAATTGTCCTTATAACCTCAAGCAGGCTAGCCATGAGATAGAGACCAAGTGCACCATTCCTCTTCCTTTTGATAATATTGTGTGCTTTCTTGATAAATTGGAGTGGCTTTATAAGATCATCATCCTCCAAATTTGGGAATGGTACTTCAATATTTGTAATTCTATTTCCAAATGTCTTTCCTTGGCGCATCTCTTCTGCGCTAAAATTTCCCTTCATACTCCTAACGTTGACAAATATCGAAGCTGTCGATTGTTTTTCCTTTAGTTGTCCTGGGTCTTTTTCTCGAATGTACAATTGAGTTCCAAGAAAGATCATCCCAACAATGATATCATTTATAGTCTATTTCACAACGACAATACATAATAGGGAGTTATACTTATATAAATAAAGTGTTAATTATTTGCGGTAAATAAATATATATTTAAAAGATAACATCAAAAAAGGAATAAAATTTTATGACAAGCTATCTTACCACTCCAAGAAGGGTCTTGATTCTTTTGACATCATGGAGAGAAAATGTCATTGAGCAAACTCTAGAAGAACCTGGAAGACTCGTGTCTACATTTCCCGACCTTATCGGGGTTAGATCATCTTCAATAAATATTGATCCAACACCTTGTCCAAAATCATACAATGAATAGATGATAGGAGCTATAAATCTGGGAAAAATATTGAACATGTTCATTACAATTTGCTTCGTGTTAGACATCTTCCTTTGAAGGGTACTCGAAGTACTTTTTGCAGGGAAAGTACAAGGTAGTGTAGGATCATCGACTCGTTTAACACAAGAGAGAAAAACTCCCATGAGAGAAGTACCATCACCAATTGCATGATGAACTTTGAATAAGAAAACTCCTTTTGCATCGATGTGTTTTGGGTTGTTGATAATGTGAATTTCCCACAAAGGTTTGTGTTGCGGAAGTTGTGAAGTAGATATAGATGATATGTAATCATCATAATGGTCCTTATAACTTTCTGCGGATAAATCTTCTGGGAAATTTGGTACTTTTATATGATCTTCCACATTCACTTCTACTTTCTTCCACATTTTCTTCCCGTTTCGATCTTCAATCTGACAAGTACAATATATTATTAAAATCATCGTGCATTAACATGCATATTAAAGAATATAAACCAATATTCAGTTAATTTAGTTTTATATAGAGTATGACTTTTATTTGACTGTTATGTTTGCCAGTTAACATAGTATTACAAAATTTAATTCAAATCTAGACTCATTAGATTAGTTTTTTTTTCTTCTCCTTGTTAGTGTTGACTAAATGAATAGTGTTACCTACCTAGCTATGAGTAGTCCATAAGCTACCTACCTACTCCCTCCGTCTCTTTATTTTTGCCCCATTGTCATTTTTGGGGTCAAACTTTAAAAACTTTAACCATAAATTACCATTAATCTATAAAAGATAATTTAGTCTTGAGTGGTCCTGTAACAACTAAATTTTATACACAATAAATTTGTTTTTTTTTTTTTTAAGACCTTGCTTATTAGTACTTGTAACAATTAAATTTTATACACAATATAAATTTGACATTAAAGTATAGTATATACCAAATACACATACGTTTAAATTATTACATTTTTTTGAAACTTTTTATTACTATGTGATTAGATATACTACGTATTCATGAACAAAGTTAGTCACCAAAATGACAAGTGTACCTATAATATTTAGTCATCGCAAACATCCCTTTTTTTTTTTTTTCATTTGTTATTACATTTTAACTTTAAAATTATTCATATACACAATCTCTTTCACCCTTTTATTTTTATTGGTTTTATATGGAATGAAAAATAGTTATTTAGACTTTGTTACAATCATCTCAATATATATTTCCGAAATTTATATCAATAATCAAAGATATCAACGATGGAATATATATGTACAATACATTATTTATTTGTCACATGTTATAGACGTAAAATATAATAGAATGATAAAGGGGGATAAAGAGAAAAAACTACCACAATAGAAGAGAAACGGGGATGAGCTTTAGCGAAGACATCCTTGATGAAAGCAAAGATGGTTGAAAAATCAACAGGAATTTCCAGCTCCATAAAACCAAGAACGTAGAGTGTTACCACCTCACTCAAAAAGTATTCAGTAGTTGGACTTACTGGCTCATCCAACTCTAAGCTGTCGTTCTTAACTTTGGTATTAACCCTCAACTTTGAATAATCCATTTTTTAAAAACTTTTTCTTTTTATAGTATGAAATAAACTACAACACTATTTAATTTTATGTTTTAGAAAGGTTGAACAAATGATCTCTATTTATAGATACTTTAAAATGCTAAAGTACGTAATCAGTAGCAAACCTTGGATTGGTGATGACAAGTACGTACGATATGATATGATAATCCTGTAAAAAACAAAATGAATGTAAGTTTTAATAAACGTTTTTGGAATGGTCTTTTATTATTGAATGAGAATTCATGGTTGAATGAAAATTTATTGTTAAGAATTTCCTATCTCGGATGATCCATGACAAGAATGCGTCATGACCTACGTTACTAGTTGATTAGTCAATGTAACAAGTTGATATATATGACACGATTAACGATCATCATAGATACCGTCATTCATGGGCCATACTCGACAATGATTTCTTAGAACCTCTCCATCAGAGATTAAAAGATTTCTTCTTCGGTTCTTGCAACATTGAGTATCACCGAACCCCCAAACTACTTCCTTCGTTCTGTTTTAGTTGATATACTAGTTTTAAGTCCCGTACAATGCACGGTTTTTATTAATGTTACAATAAATTATAATGTTAATTTAACAATAGTTTACAGTAAACTAAATTAATTTTTAAGTGAAGTAAGATAAATTGATTTTAATACTTATACCAAAGATTGAAGGGTAACTATTGCATTAAGCCGATTCACTCTATGAATAATTAATAGAAATTTAAGAACTATAGGGCTCTATTTAATAAAGAGAAACACATGTGTGATATACACACATATATATTTCCATCCATATTTTATTCACACACTTTAACAAATACGGCGTACAATACTTTATTAATTAATTAAGAATACATTATTTTTTCTTACATTTGTTGGAAATATAATGGTGGGAAATTTTTGCACCAAATTTTGACATATACTACGTACTTCTTTTTTTTTTTTTTTTTTTTTTTTGACACATTCTTATTGATTTGCCTTTTAAGAATAGAAAATTATTGTATATACAATAATATGTAATATATATTACAAAAGTGAATTTCTTATTTATTGAAATAAAATGCATTGCCCAAAATCCAAATAATGAAGTTAGAGAAATTAAAAGATAGAATAATGATAATAATACAAAAATATTGAATAATAATATTATTCTAAAAATATATGTTCATTTATTTCTAGAACACCTACTTGTAAATAATATATATATAGAAAATATATCAAATCATTTTTTTCCTTTTATACTTAAGTGTATTTGGAAGCCAATATAACTGTAAAAATGCAAGGGAAATAATTTAAGTTGTGTAATAATTAATGAAGATTTGACCCAAAAAAAAAAAAAAAAGAAAGAAAAAATGGAGGGAACATTGTCAGTAAGAAGATCACATATGTCACTTCTGGTTTTGCTTCATGACATACTAGATTCGTGCCCGTGCGATGCACGGTAGTAATAATTTTTTTCCCATAATTAATTGTGATATAATATAAAAATGAGGCAACTCATGTATGTGGAATAAACAAATGCAATGCATATAGAAAAATAAAATAATAAGCCAAATATTACTAATACTAGAATTGAGGAAAAAAAATATTGTTAATTGGTTGTGTTGAAAATATTTAAAAGTAGTATAAATTATATTATATTAATGATGCATATTATTCCCAATAAAACTATACAATCTAGTGACTCTATGACTAACAACTTATTTATAAATATCTTTTAATAAACATGAAAAATATTAATCAACAACAGAATAAAATCTACGGTTAAACTATTAGTACAACATACATGTAAATATATGAATTACAAATAATATATCACCTTTAATTTATATCCAATAAAATAATTTCAATATAAATAAATACTACTCGATCGGATTATTAAAGGCAACAATATAATAATCAACAATTAGGCAACACTGACCTATATTATTAGTAGTACATTTTCTGTTTATGAATTGATGCTCTAAATTATATTGTCATTCTTTGTTATTATATAAATATGTGTTTGAAGCTATGTAGTAATTGTAATTTGATCATTGTTTGTTTATTGCCTTAAAAATTTATTTGTAGATGATAGCTAATTATCGAAAAAAAAGGATACACAAGAAGATATCACTTGTCACTATGTCTGACGTGTCTTTTACTATGCATCTTATTTATAATGTTGAATGTTTTAATAAATTTATTATCTCAATCACATGTTTTTAGCAAAAGATAATAATTTTGTTGGTATTTACTAAGATATTAATTTATTAAATTACGTAACAACAAAAAATGATTGATATTTCACATTTTCCTAGAAAAAATATGATATAGTTGTCGAACACAACATTTATTATATAGTCATATGTAACACTCCATTAGTCTAAGAAACAAAATATCAGATGTATTTCAAAAAAAAATTAAAGTGATATTTTAAAGTAATTCCTTTAATATCAATTATATGAATCAATTTTACTATTACTTTTTGGGCAAAATTTAATGATACTCCATCTAAAAGATGTCCGGCGGTGTACCTGAACCAGTGGCTCACTATTTCTATTATTAAAAAAGAGTTAGAATACTATTTTAGGTAAATGTGTATGGAAGAATTAAGAACATGAAATAAAATAAATACATTTTATGTAAAGATAATATTATTATAGTCGTATTATGCAAATATTCCAAAAAGTAAAGAGTTTGTGCTAAATGGGGAGAGATAGTTTTGGAGGAAAAAACAACACCATGGAGTAACACATGTCATTCATGGTGTCTGTTTTAGTATTATGTTATATTGATTGATTGATTTTATTTTATTTTACTTTGTGATAATTAATAACCATTTTTTTTTATTACATAATATATGAGTAGTATATATAAATTTTTATGTATATAATAACATTTGTTTGATTAAATTTTTATAGGTTATTATTGCAAATTAAACATTATTATGTTGAATTAGATGTATTTATTGGTTGAATGAGCAAATGACCCCCGGTGTACATAATAGGCTGTCGATTAGTTAAGATTGAGTAAGTATTGTATTATTATAATTTTCTTAGTTGAAAATATTTTTGCACAAAATTTTGACACATTATGATATTATTAATATGAAGAGTAGAAAATTAAAGAATCTACAGTTATATATGTTATTAAAATATTTTCTTCTCTAATTGAAATAGACTTTATTGCCAAAAATTATAAAGTTGGTGGGAAAAAAAATAGAATGATCATACATAGTCCTTGGCTAAAAATACTATTTTAATTATATAATACCTTAATATGGAAAGAAAATATTATTATTATTGGGGTTTGACCAAAAGAAAAACAAAAAAAATAAAAAAAATAATAAAAAAAAATTATTGAAAAAATAGGCGAGAAAATATTTAATTAGGAGATGACACGTGTCATTCCTGATTCGCCTTTAGTATATAGTTATAGATTTTTTGCCTATATATGCTATTCACAAATTATATTAGATTAGATTTTGTGATATTAGCTTAGTTACAACAAAACATTGTCATGTGAGGTCTTGTTTAATTTGAATTGCCCGATAAATATTATATTAATATTCACCATTTATTATTTTTTACTTATTGATAATTTAAGATATTAGTCGTTAAACTTGTATGTTGGCACACATGATATAGCAAGTACCTCACTTTAACCTCCGGAACACTCCAGAACATTATGATGTTTCCCCGCAATTCTCCGTAATATCACCGACCTTAACTTTTTTACAATGAGAACATTGTAAAACAAAGATATATATATTCTGACCTTTGTAATCACTTATACTCATGAATCGTACCTTACATTAAATTAAACTTGGTTCCAAAATACATCAATCAATACTAATATTTTAAAAGGCGTTTTTATGAACGTGTATGTGTCACGTAGATCCCCTTTCATTACGCCGCGTTACGTACTCAACCTCTCATTATGTCACATCACCACTCAATCAATCTTAATCATTACGCCACGTCACGCAGCTACCATCATTGATTCATATAAAAACATAGGGATAAAGATATTCGAACACCCAATCTCTTAATTATAAGAAGAACTAGATTAGGTCTCGTGCCATGTACGGTAATTTCACTATTGTTTATAATTCAAAACTATATTTTTAATAAACAAAAATAACATATTTTGTATAACCCATGTAGACAAAATATATAACCATAGTATATTTTTTATGTATATAATAAAATGAAACGTGAAATATAATGAAAGAGTGAGTTATTAGACAAATAAGTTTAAAATTTTAATGATAAATTAATATCCTATTTCATTTTATTAACTAAATAATTAAGTATTTTAAAATTGTATATTAAACACTATGGGATTGTAACATAAATAATTACTACAGTGTATTTAATACAATTTGGGATAGTAAAAAACATATACGTAATAAAATTTGTCGTGCTTTTGATACATAAATAATTAAAAATTAAAAATAAATCAAATAAGATTGATATTGTAAAATAAATTATGCTATTAGTAAGTCGCTTCCTAATAAGAAAAACATTTTGAAATTTCTAAATTGAGAATACATGAATAACACAAAAGAAAGCAAAGGGAGTAATAATAATAATAATAATAATAATAATAATAATAATAATAATAATAATAATAATAATAATAATAATAATAATAAAGTATGAATCAAATATTTCTAAAACACATCCTTTTTTTTATTACAAAATTACTGCAGATATATTATATTGTAGATTTGAAAGAATAAAATACTACATAAGGATTAGGGAATAATATATACCCCATATATATACATAGTAATAGACATTAGAATAATATTTTATGAAAAATATGTGTAACAAATATATATTTTGTTTAGTAAATGAATGATTTGGTGAATATTTTTAGTATATTTTATAATAAGTAGTTGATGTCATCGTGAAAAAAAAGAAGAGAAAAAAGCAGTACCAGAAAGTGACACGTGTCATTTCTAGAGTTAGTTTATTCCTGGTATCTGTTTTAATATTACGTTATAGATTGAATAGTATAGATATATAATAATAACTAGTTTTGTGCCCCGTG